AAAAATGTCTCCACAGGGATGGGTAAATCGACTCAGGGGATGATTGTGACTCGATCTGTACCTATAAATTTCCACCTTTTTTTTTCAACCCTCACGAACCCTCCCTCAAAATGGCCGATGGGATAAAAAAAAATGTCTCCACAGGGATGGGTAAATTGACTCAGGGGATGATTGTGAGTCGATCTGTACCTATAAATTTCGACCTTTTTTTTTATCACCCTCACTAACCCTCCCTCAAAATGAACGATGGGATAAAAAAAAATGTCTCCACAGGGGTAGGTAAATCGACTCAGGGGATGATTCTGAGTCGATCTGTACCTATAAATTTCGACATTTTTTTTTCACCCTAACTAACCCTCCCTCAAAATGACCGATGGGATAAAAAAAAAGTCTCTACAGGGGTAACTAAATCGACTCAGGGGATGATTCTCAGTCGATCTGTACCTATAAATTTCGACATTTTTTTTTCACCCTAACTAACCCTCCCTCAAAATGACCGATGGGATAAAAAAAAAAGTCTCTACAGGGGTAACTAAATCGACTCAGGGGGTGATTCTGAGTCGATCTGTACCTATAAATTTCGACCTTTTTTTTCACCCTCACTAACCCTCCCTCAAAATGACCGACGGGATAAAAAAAAATGTCTCCACAGGGATGGGTAAATCGACTCAGGGGATGATTCTGAGTCGATCTGTACCTATAAATTTCGACATTTTTTTTTTCACCCTCACTAACCCTCCCTCAAAATGACCGATAGGATTAAAAAAAAAGTCTCTACAGGGGTAACAAAATCGACTCAGGGGGTGATTCTGAGTCGATCTGTACCTATAAATTTCGACCTTTTTTTTTCACCCTCATTAACCCTCCCCCAAAATGACCGATGGGATAAAAAAAAAAGTCTTTACAGGGGTGGGTAAATCGACTCAGGGGGTGATTCTGAGTCAATCTGTACCTATAAATTTTTAACTTTGTTTTCCACCCCCACTAACCCTCTTTCAAGATGGCCGACGGGGTAAAAAAAGGTCCACAGGTGTAT